CTCAGCGCTCCCTGGTATCCCCTCAGTGCTCCCACCACCCCCGCAGTGCTCCCGCCGCCCCTGCAGTGCTCCCCGCAGTGCTCCCACCACCCCCGCAGTGCTCCCCGCAGTGCTCCCACCACCCCCTCAGTGCTCCCCGCAGTGCTCCCGCCGCCCCTGCAGTGCTCCTGCCACCCTCTCAATGCTTCCTGGTATCCCCTCAGTGCTCCCGCCTCCCCTGCAGTGCTCCCGCCACCCCCTCAGTGCTCCCGCCTCCCCTTCAGTGCTCCCACCACCCCCTCAGTGCTCCCGCCGCCCCTGCAGTGCTCCCACCACCCCCGCAGTGCTCCCGCCACCCTCTCAGCGCTCCCTGGTATCCCCTCAGTGTTCCCACCACCCCCGCAGTGCTCCCCACCCCCGCAGTGCTCCCCGCAGTGCTCCCGCCGCCCCCGCAGTGCTCCCGCCGCCCCTGCAGTGCTCCTGCCACCCCCACAGTGCTCCCGCCACCCTCTCAGCGCTCCCTGGTATCCCCTCAGTGCTCCCACCACCCCTGCAGTGCTTCCCGCAATGCTCCCGCCGCCCCTGCAGTGCTCCTGCCACCCTCTCAATGCTTCCTGGTATCCCCTCAGTGCTCCCGCCGCCCCCTCAGTGCTCCCCGCAGTGCTCCCTGCTGCCCCCGCAGTGCTCCCGCCTCCCCTGCAGTGCTCCCGCCACCCCTGCAGTGCTCCCGCCTCCCCTGCAGTGCTCCCGCCACCCCTCAGTGCTCCTGCCGCCCCTGCAGTGCTCCCGCCACCCCCTCAGTGCTCCTGCCGCCCCTGCAGTGCTCCCGCCACCCCCTCAGTGCTCCCGCCTCCCCTGCAGTGCTCCCGCCACCCCTGCAGTGCTCCCGCCACCCCCTCAGTGCTCCTGCCGCCCCTGCAGTGCTCCTGCCGCCCCTGCTGTACTCCCACCACCCCCGTAGTGCTCCCCGCAGTGCTCCCGCCACCCCCCAGTGCTCCCCGCTGCCCCCACAATGCTCCCCGCAGTGCTCACGCCGTCCCATCAGTGCTCCTCGTCGTCCCCACGTCTAAGGACAAGAGCAAGACTGCAGAGCCGAATGCAGGGACACCTGCGGCCCCCACGCGGGACTCCCTCCCCTCTTCCGTGCCTCGACCAGGCCCTCACACACTGGCGAGTCCACGCAGGACGCCCGGCCCGGCCGCGCCTCCTAGAGCGCGCCGGGCCTCGCGTGGCTTCTGCCTTGATTTGCCACTTCCTACCTTGGCTCAGCAGCCACACACGGCAGAGACCAGTTACCTTCCACCCGCTCAGCCACGCAACCCCCGCGAGAGAACTGCGCAGGCGCGCTCGGCTCTCTGCGCGCCCCAGCACGCAGGCGCGATCAGGCACCGCGCGCCCCAGCACGCAGGCAGTCCATAGGCTCACAGCACCTCGGCATGCAGGCGCAAGTGCGGCCTCACCGCGCCCTCTGCATGCAGGCGCAGGCGCGGCCTCACCGCGCCCTCTGCACGCAGGCGCAAGTGCGGCCTCACCGCGCCCTCTGCACGCAGGCGCAGGTGCGGCCTCACCGCGCATGTGCGGCCTCACCGCGCCCTCTGCACGCAGGCGCAGGCGCGGCCTCACCGCGCCCTCTGCACGCAGGTGCGTCTCTCCAGCGGAGGGGGAGGGGGCAATCGCATGCAGGTGAGCGCCCGCATCACCTGATCCTGGGACTTCTTCTTCTTCTTCTTCTTGCCCCAGCAGCCGGAGCTCTCGGCGTCCTTGCCGTTGGCCTCGCCGCAGAGCAGCCCATCCAGCTCATCCGTGCCCATGTGCTGTCCCTGAGACGTCTCTGCCGCCAGCCGGTAGGAGAGGTTCCTTAAGATGCACACACAGTTTTCAACGGTCTGCAGGACCCCGAGACAAAATGGGAGACAGGAGGGGAATGAGCACAGGCTGCACGGGGCCCTGCAGTGCCCGTCCGGGAAAGGCCTTCACCCCCGCGCGCTGGGCCTCTAGGGAGACTTCAGCTTAATTTTTTCCAACCTACGGCGGGCTGTAGAACGAGGTTCCCACTTAGCACGTCTACTTACGTGTCCAGTGCTTCTCGACCGCACCCTCCCTTTCTACCATTCTCCCCACCTTCCTCCCTTTCCTCCACCAGTCCAATCGTTTGTCACACTTCGTGTTTACACATTTCAGCTTCCTGATACTCACTGTTCCACCCTGTCTGTTAATTGTTCAAAGGATGTCAGTGTTGCACAAACTATCCTCGAGTCAGCTTGGTCATGCATAAATCCATGACCACTGTGTTTTGGGTCCAAGAGCCACATTGGGAAGAATCTAGAGAAGTTTTAAGGTCTTCCGGTTGGGTCTCTCAGCTAAGAAATGAATCGTCATCACATCTATAAACATTGGCTATTATGGACTGAAATTCATATGTGAGGAGAAAAATGTATAACCACAGGCAAGTTCCAAAATTCATCTGTTTGTAGGAGCACAGATAATGGATGTCAGTTAGTGCTGGCAGTGACACCAACATGCACTGTTTGCCTAGCCCGGGTATAAAAAGGAGCAACAGGGCAAAGCAGGGTTGTCCTGGACAAAGGAGGCGCTGTAGAGTACTGATAGGCTCATCTTGATGTTTTTTTCAAGATGGCTTCCATCCTGATTTTCCTAGCAAAGGGTTAAGCAGAGATAAGGGTTCATGTGGAGGTGGACATCTGTGCAACCCTATCCTATCAATATTTCTTATATGGTTTTGGCAATGTACTTATCTCCACAACTCAGTATCTCCTAATATGATCACAACAAGAGCCCATAGTTGGCTGCAGCATGGATCAGTTAAGCTAATGTAGTACCTGGAAGGTAGAATAACATCTCCACACAGAGTAAGTGCCCCCACCTTCAGTACTCGACCCTATGAGTGAGTTAAATTCTGCCGACGAAGTGGAGATTAAGGCTGCAGTTGGAACTAAGGTTGTTTATTGGCTGAATGTCATGAGTGGAGATTATCTGGATTATCCATGCAGCCCTGTAAGTGAAAAAGGGAAGCAGAAGTGCCAGGTTCGGAGGGTGTGACAAGGGAAGGATGTGACTTTGAAGATGTAGAAGTGGCTACAAGCCAAGGGACGTGGCGGCCTTCAGGAATTGGGACAGAGAAGGAAATGAATTCTCTCCAGAAGTCCTGATGACACTTGGATTTTAACCTAATGAGACCAATTTCAGATTCCTGATTTCTACATTTGTGGGCTAATATGTACATGAGGTTTTTTTTTTTTTTAAGTCACCAAATTTGTGTCATTTGTTCCAGCAGCAATAGGATATGAATACAGCATGTAAGCATTATAAGAGAGTGCCTGGGGCACAGCAAACACTACCCAGTCATTAACAGGGCTGGGAACCTGCCCAGTCTGGAGATCTGGGCGTGAGATGCACTGTGGTTGCCTTGGCTTGGGTTTGAGTTCCAGCTCCGCTGTTGAGTGAGCTGTGTACTTCATCTCTCTGTGCTTCTGTGTCCTCATTTGGGAACTGGAGGTAAAGAGAAAGCACTGGCTTCACAGGACTACCACGAGGGATACGAGAGTTTACAGGCACAGTTCCTGCTAAATGGTGCCTGCTCAGAAAGTGTCTGCTGCTGTTATGGGAAGTGGAGTGTGGAATTCTGGAAACACGCCTTCCGGTAACTTCCCCCAGTGAGATGGGGGCCTGGTAAACTGCAGCCAGCAAGCCAAAGCCAATGTAGAGCTTGTAGTGTGTAATGTGTTCTTGGTGAACACGTGCCCCTTGTGTGTACGATCATCTCTGACATGGTCCGCCAGCACTGACACAGTGGGAGGGCTAGGACAGAAGCCACCCCTCTGTGCAGATTCAAGCACTTAGCCTCTGGCCTGCAGAAAAGTTGTCTGCCCTTTCCACCTTTGTTCTGTCCTTCAGTAACCAGGGGAACAAGGATACCAGATAATTTTATAAAGAGGCAAACCAGTGAGAGGAAAAACTACTTAACAGAGCTAAGTTTTACTATGCCAATTCGACCACCACCATAGTTTTAATTTTTCTATCTGCCACCACCGGAGGCAGATGACCCCATTGCACCTCGCAGAGGCAGGAATAAAGAGCCTCAGCCCCGGGTGAGGGCGGACACCAGGCTACCCCAATCCTGCATCTGGAGCCCCAGCCCCGGGTCAGGGCAGACACCAGGCTACCCCAACCCTGCATCTGGAAAAAGGCAGTCGCAGCCTGTGTCCTTTATCTCACGGAGGAGGAGAGGGATGGAAGTTGTGAAAAATCAACCAGGAAAACCAATTCTCAGGATCTGTCTCCAGAGCCTTTGCCATTCTAGACCTTTCTTGTTGGCTTTTCAAGGTTTCAGGGCTGCTAATCCCATAGGCTTTGAGTCAACTTGATTTTCTATTTCAAGCTTCAAAAAGGGAACCCGGCATGAAAGCAGGTAAACACAGGCAGACGCATGAAAGACAGAAAAGTCTCTCATTGAAAGGAAAATGTTATGGCACAAGTCAGAACGATTTTCAAATCAGCTCAAACTGATTTTTCTTACATCAAAGACCTGGGAGAATAAACTTCTTTCTCATCCTGCTGTTCATCCTCCTGGGGGCTTTGCCGTTCCTCTGTTTAACAGATGACTACTGGGGAGTAAATCTGCAGTTTTGAGAAATGCTTTATAATCTCCCTGTGTCTGAGAGATGATCTGGGAAGAAGGTGGGAAGGGAGAGAGAAGAGAGAGGAGCAAGAAGAGAGGGAGGGAGAGAGGGAGAAAAAAGAGGGGAAGAGAGAGGAAGAGAAGAAAGAGGGGAAAAGGAGAGGGAGAAAGAAAGAATGTGTGTGGGGGAGAGACAGAGAGAGAGAGAGAGAGAGAGAGAGAGAGAGAGACTAGGACTGGGTAGGAGGGGAGAGAGGCCTTGGGATCAAACTCATATCTCTCATTAAGCTTCCTGGAGTGTTACAGTCTGGCTTGGTTTAGGTAAGCTACTAGTTCAAGTGCTTTTCTCTCAAGGAATGGAGGAGAGGAAAAGAAAAAAAAATAGACCAGGACACCAGCAGAAGGCAAGTGGCAGCCGGTGGCTTTGCTGGTAACACCCACTGCTGTCAACAACACTCTCAGCCATTCTTCTTGGTCACCAGGGTCATTCGGAGTCCTTCTTTCCTATTAGAAAGGGCCAATTCGGAAGTCATCTACAGAGTCTCTACCATATGTTACCCATTCAACACACTGTGCCAATTATAGCAGCAGAGCGGCAAGCCTGTGCGGAATCCAGACTCTTTTATTCATTAACTTCTCTAGCCTTAAGGAGCGTATGTTCGTGTGTTCCCTCCCCATCCTGCCGTTGTTGTGAGAGCTCTGAAGTGGCTGAGCAGAGGGGCTGAGTGGAAAAGGGTGGCGCAATAATGCCACATTCAAACTCGATAGCCCTGGCTGGCCAGCAGGGACACGGATCCCATTTGATCACAGACATGTTCTCAGCCAGGGCAAGGCTCGGTGTCATGAGTTCAGGCCAGACATGGCATGTTCCTCTAGCTGGTTGGGAAGGAAACGGGTACTGTCTGGGGCCCGTCTTGATGCCCTGACCATCTGGTCTTCTGAGTCTTGCCAGGGAAACTCCTGTTCATTACCTATTCTTTTTCTAGGAAAATGTGGATGCTAGAATAGATGCTCACCAAGGTCCCCTAAGAGCATGGCAAGTCGGATCATCTCAAACAGAAAATGGTGCACAAACCGAGTTCCTGAAGATGGGTGAAATGTCAGAGGTAATGGCAGAGGAACTTGCCTGAGGCCCTGGCCTACCGGCTGGATTGTTCAGATAGCAGTACAGCTCCTTTGTATCCCCTTGGCGGTAGGCAGCAGGCGTGGCCTCCAGTGCCCTGGTCTCTCACTGCTGTGAATAGTAACATGCTCAGCCTTGCTGTGGCAGTGAACTTGTATCTATCGTATTAACCCGCCTCCGTAAATACTCTAGACATCTTGACTAGTCACTTTCTTAGGGATTCAATTTTCTTGTCAATGATTCTGAAAGGTTTAAAATGGTTACTAGGGCTTTTTACAACAGCGGCATGTTAAATCTTCACTGCATTGTGGTTTGTCTTTGGAGTTAATAACATATGGCCAGTGAATGGATGCAAGCCCAGCAAGCTGAGGGATGGGACAACAAGCAGCGCTCCAAGATGTGGGGTCCCAGGGGCGAGGACAACAGGTATTGGGCTCCAATCTTCAGGAAGTCTCAGAGATCAGTAATTAAAAAAGAAATTCTTGGTAACTTTAATTTGTAGTTCAAGTTAATAAGTGCTATGCTCACTCACCCACAGAGATTGTTAACAGAATCACTTATTACTTATCTTGTTAATCTAACTTTCCAACATTATATTCTGCCAGATTGCCAACTAGTGCACTGCAAAGCTCCATCTGTTTAGGCAGGTACTTAATCCAAGTGCACACGGCGTCACCTGACCCCTGTGTCCTGGACAAGCCCTGGAGGTCGGGGTGGGCTACTCCCATTTAGAGGATGGGAATGCGGTAGGTCAGGGGCCACTGTGAGGAAGAAGAGGCAATCAGAAGCTGGGCATCCAGGCAGTGGCCCACTGCCAGGGCTGAGTCTGCCCCCCACTGGACACATGGGGAGTCACGTCTGGGGTCATTTTTGTTCTGTAGAACTGGGGTGCCGTGTTACTGACATTCAGCCAGTGGAGGCCAACAATGCCACTCACCACCCCCAATGCCCAGTGCACAGCGCCTCACAACGAAGCCCCAGATGGCAGTCGGGGTGAGTCTGAAGAGGCCCATCAATCCCACCTGCCACTTAAAACTTGTGGTGAATTCTGTGTCCATATCAAGATAGTCAGTAACTTCTGCTGAGTATGAGGTGGAAACGAGGGAATCAAGACAAACGGGACAACAACAGCCACAGCAGCACTGGGAAGCTCAGGGCTTGCGAATAAAGCAGTTGCAATTTAACATGTTCACGGATTCACTGATTTAGCCTTTTGCCATTTTAAAGAGATCTTTTAGGCATTTAAAATGGCAATGAAGGGCTGGGAAGGTGGCTCAGTGGTAGAGCGCTTGCCTAGCATGCAGGAGGCCCTGGGTTTGATTTCTCAGTACTACATAAGCAGAAAAAGCCAGAAGTGGCACTATGGCTCATGTCATAGAATGCTGGCCTTCAGCAAAAGAAGCTCAGGGACAGTGCCCAGGCCCTGAATTCAAGCCCCAGGACTGGCAAAAAAGAAAAACGAAAAAGAAAAAATGGCAATGAATACAGTTAGTTATTAAAAAGAGAATTTAGGAGAATATGTAATTATTCTTATAGATTTGTTTTGGGGTTTTGTTTTGCCTGGGTTCTCTCCCTGATCCTCTTTGTGCTCAAGCTAGCGCTTTGCCACTTGATCCACAATGTCACTTTCAGCTTGTTCTTGGTAATTTATTGGAGATAAGTGTCTCACCAACTTTCCTGCCCCAGATGGCTTTGAACTGTGATCCTTAGATCTCAGCCTCCTGAGTAGGTAGGATTACAGGTGACAGCGGCTGGCACCTGGCTCATATAGATAGTTTTTAATATATTTCTTTTGTGAAAGTTGATATTATAAAACTAGAAGACTCTGGGTACTGTGATGGGCAAAATTTACAAACCTACCTGGAACACCTGTGGTTTGAGTAACAAAAAGCTGTCTAGATAAAATGAGGAGTTAGGACAGAGCTATGGTTTTTAGCTACAATTCAGTCTCATGGTTGCCTTCATTCTCTAACACACATAATCACCCGGACTCTACAAACCTTGCTATCGATCTCACTGCTCCCCAGCGCAGACTGAATCACATACAGCAAGGCATCGGTCAGCCCCTCACACTCCCGCATCCGCCGTCGGGCCTCTTCTCCGGCTGAACTCACATTCCTGCAACGTGAAAGGGACAGCAGTGACTTCCTCCGTGCTCACCAAGACACCCTGTAAGAAAACCGCTTTCCTTTTGAGAAAGTTCACCAAGAATATTGCTTTAGTGAGTGGTTATAGGTTCAACAAGAATTAGGCAAGTCACAGATACCTGTGTTACAATTTGTGAAACAATGCAGAGGGATTATTAGTTGTTGTTTGTTTTGTTGTTGTTTTCTTTCTTTTGGTGCTGGTCCTGGGGCTTAAACTCAGTGCCTGAGCACTGTCCTCAAGCTTTTGTGCTTAAGATAGCACTCTACCTCTTGAGCACGGCTTCACTCTGGCTGGTTTTGGTGGTTAATTGGAGATAAGAGTTTACAAACTTTTCCCAGGCTACCCTGGAACTGCGACCCTCATATTTGAGCCTCCTGGGTACCTAAACTTAAAGATGTGAGCCACCAGCACCTGGATAGGTTTCTAATTCAAGCAATTACTCCTAGATGCATGAAATATATCTTAAGAGGGCCTTTGTATTTTTCTTGAAGTCAAGAGGCTTTCTTACCCTCAGCTTCACCCTGTTTAACAGAAGAGGCACATTTTCATTCTGATATTCAGCTTTTTATCATTGTTAAAACTTTTGACCAAGGTAAGTCTGAGTTATGTTAGCTTATGATTAAGAGAAAATGATGTAAACAATAATACATGTTTAAGCTTCAAATATCACAGTCTTAACACAGCTCAAATTTTTGTTCACGTTTATTATGAATCTTGAGGGCAGGCTTCACTGTTTAAAAATTAAGATCCTGGAAATGTTTTGCATCAGCCAAACATTGAGTGGCTAGTTGTAGCCATGATCTTAAGTAAGTATTTGACAGTGAACCAATGTCCAACCTAATTTTCTTCACTGTCATGGTCCTGATGCCATCTTCTGCCCATCACATGGAAGACAACTTCCATATCTGGTTAGAAAATTAGTACAGCAAATTTCTATGCAAAAGCAGCATTGGAACAATACTTGTAGACTATTCAAACTACAAATAAAGAGTAAAATAGATTGGTAGGTTTGACTAAACTATATTATATGTTGCAAATTTCATAGTCAACACCCTTTGTGCAATTAATTTGCACTAGTTAGCTTTTTAAGCACAAATAGGTGTATACTAGCCAAAAATCCTCTTTATAAAGATCTTGATTGCCTTTTCAGTTGAGAGAGGTCATCTGAAAGTTTCTCCTTATAGAGGATTCTGTACTCTTTTTTTTTAATCTAGTAGATGAAAAATGAAACCATTTCTACATTTTCCAATTAAAAGAACAATCTCTTCTATTCCAAGGCAGCGGTTAAGCTGGACATCTCATTACTCTGAGCCTCCGTCACTCAGTGAGCTTATTTAAATTAAACTGAACACACAGTGCTCTCCAAGGATCCACAGTGGAACTTAACACCATATGTTCAATTGAACGACTATAATTTCACAGGAAAGATGTATCTGTTGCAGATGGCCAGCATATGGGAGATCAAACCACAGGGAAAAAAATCCAGGGATGGGATTTCTGGGGACTCAATTTATTTGTGATTAGCTGTTCTCTTCGTACTCCCTTAGCACTTGAAACTTCCATCATTGATCACTCACCATTGATTTTGTATTGGAGTTACGCTGTAAACCTTATTACTGCAGAGGTACCTTCCCGGGCAGGGTGGGGGTGGAGTGGGAAACTGGTCTGCTGAGTGTCTGGCATGTCCATTTAGGTGCTCCATAAAAGTTGGCTGTTACAAGTATATGCAGTTCTTCCTTGGGATTAGAATTCAGAAAGCTGGGAGCCTGTCCACAACTTATCTAGTCCACCAGTAATTCTCTGTGCCAGATGCTTACTATATATAAGAGAGCTTTTAATCCATCAGAATAGAAGCTTCTTAGCTTTAGTTTGTATCTGACACAACAATCCCAATCCGGTATGATTCAGAGCAGGTGCAATTTTCAAAGAAGCAAAAAGCATTTGAAGACTGCATGTAACACTGAGAGGATCATCATTTAGCTGGAGACTATTGACTGAATTCTGTGAGTGCTAGAGACAATCAGATAATACCATTTCACACCATCTCCAGTCCTAAGTGGAGGTAGAGGTTTTACACTCAGGCCTGAGGCTAGTTTCCCTTCTCCAGATTCTGTTACCTCCTTTCCTTCTACCTGACCCGTGTTTTGGCCTTTACAGTCTAGCTTCCCCTGTAATCAGTGCATAAGCACTCTCTGGAGGCCAGGTTACATCGCTGCATGTTCATTCTTATGGTGTCTCAGCTGGGCCAACCCTGCACAGCCCTGGGCTGCTGCTCATGGAACCCCTTTGTCTCATTTCCCAATTGATAATCGGCAGAGACCAGCCATGGGATCTCTGTGGGACCTAGGCCTGGTTTCTGAAGCCATGCACTAGATTTAGGGGTGGAGCTGTGCTTGCTCAGAGTGTGGCAAAGAGCAAAGCTGAGGTTATATCTAGAAGCACCAGTGATTTCCACAACAAAGCAGAAATAGGCAGCCATGTTTTTGTACAGTCTTGATAACAGCCTAGCAAGGCAGGTAGAAGAGGAGGCAGAAATCACCAGATGACCATGGGTGCCAGACCCAAATGAGGAGGTGGCTCAGGATGCATGGGGAGGAGCTAAAAGCCTCTTGACTCTCAACCATGGCCACCGAAAGGTTGTCGGCTATTCCAAGGCTGTGATGACCCTTCTACCTGAAATCTCCTCTTTCTACATCCAATATATTAATTTGGTCTTCAGGACTTAATCAGATGTCTGGTGTGCACGCCTTCCAGGCCTTGTTATTTCAATTAGTGTTGTATTACTATGACAGAGTAACTGGAAACAACTTGAGGCAGGATTTATTTATCTCACCATTTTACAGGTTTCAGCCCATGGTCACTTGGACTGTTTTTCAGGCCTGATATAAGGTACTCTATTAGGAATGGCAGAAGAAAGTTGCTTACTTCATGGCAGCCAGGAAGCTGGGAGGGGCAGAAAGAGGAAGGGGAAGGGCTAAGATACACCCTTCGAAAGGATGCCGCTAGTGACCTGCTTCCTCCAATTACGCCCCCTCTCCTCATCTGCCACTCAGCTATGACCTCATCAATGGAATTCATGAGCTTAGCACCCTCACCATATAACCCCCTCTCAACAGGGCCACCAGCTGAGACCACACCTTTGACGCACAATCCATTTGGAGAGGACTCCATATTCAGTCATAAGGCCTGCTGAGCCCTTCCATCCCCTCCTGCTTCCTAGCTTCAGGTGTCCTCAGTTTCCATCTGGCCGCTCATCTGGGAGGGCAGGTGGAGAACATCAGCTGGCCTCACTGTTTGACCCTTCTCCCCATGTCCTTGCTTAGTGCATAGTAAAAACTCGTGGAGAGACCATCAAATGAAAGAGCACATGACTCCCCTCAGGCCCATCCCTTTCTGGATCGGGGATCTTAACTCGTGCAATATTCCCCCCCCCCCCCCCGGGGAACATGTGACAATGTCAGTGTATTGAGTGTTGAGCGGAGTAATGGCATCTAGTGGGTGGAGATGGCCAGGGTTGCTGCTAATCTTCCTGAAATACTTAGGAAAGGCATCGCAACCCAGATGCTAGCAGTGTGGCGGCCAAAGAGTGTGCTCTCCATGGCTAGGACCTCAGAGTACCTTATTTACATGTCCTGCTTCAACCCGTAAAGCATGTGTAGATCAGTGGTCCTTTGAACTCACCTCTATCGTCTTTTCTGCTCTCTCTCTCTGCTCTCTTGCTGCTCTTTTCTAGCTCTCTCTGCTAACTAGCTCTCTCTCTGTTCGTTTCTAGCTCTCTGCTCTCTCTCTCTTTTCTAGCTCTTTTCTCTCTCTTTCCTTTCTTTCCTCTTTCCTTTCCCAGCCACGTGGAGTGCCAACCTTGCCTGGTCCCAGCAGGTCTACTGAATAAACCTACCCCTTACCTGAATACCACGTGAGTGCTGCTGTTCTTACTCGGCTACCTCCTTTTAAAAACCTAACATAAATGGTGCCGTGAACTCACCTCTATCATAATCAGTTTGAGTTTGATACAAAAATAGAGAGGCCCAGGTGCTCTCTGATCTCACTGCACCCTGTCCTTATGTTCTGCTGTCCAGATGTCCGCATATGCATCATGAGAGAACTGTTGTCTGAGCCACAGCAGTGGATGGACATTAAGATATTTATTGACTGGCCAGAGGTCATATAATGGTCTGTTGTGTGTGAGAGACAATTTGTAGGCTGACCAGTACTAGGGAAGCTCTGCCTAATAGGACTGGATACAGGGGACCCCCACCTAATTAACTTAGACAGCATTGAGACCACCCCCACCCACTATGGCAGCATGGAGACCAGTAGAAGGCTTCCAGAATGAATGTCTAGAAACAACAGTACATTTGTGAAGGGAGATCTGAGTATAATATAAGCATGGATCACCTTAATTATTTGGCCATGTAATTAACTTCTCAGCCACTAATGAATTTATCAGCAATTATCTGATGTGAGTGTGTGTGTAAATTGGAAATTACACCCAGCAGGGCTCTCAACCATGAAGTGTGAAAACCACTACATTTTAAAGAGACTTACATTGGGATCAGAAACTTTCCCTATAGTGGGCTGAGAGAAGATATTTTTGCTCTTGGAGCTACATAGGGGCTCTGTCAACTAAACTTACTTTGCTTTACTTGTCACTATATCCAGATAGTTTGTTAACTCGGAATCTTATCTGAAGGACTCAGAAGTGGCTTTCTTTTGTCGGTTGTGGGGCTTGAACTCTGGGCCTGGGCACTGTCCCTGAGCTCTTCAGCTCAAGGCTAGTGCTCTACCACTTGAGCCACAGGGCCACTTCCTTGACTCAGAACTTAATTATGACTGTTAGTTATCCTATGTTGTTCCCATCACTGTATGTTGAAGACAGGAAACTTGGGTCTTCGTTCATCACAGATACAGAAGGACATTCCCCCAGAAACTGTTTTTAATCGAATTTTCATTCACACCTGATTTTAAGTGAT